CTAGAAATTCATAAAAAAAATTCTTTTTAAATCTAAGATTTGAACATTTTTAATAATCTATAATATTGGATACTAGATAGATAACCCGTTTCCGCTCAGAATCGTTTTTCGTATACAATGATATAATATCATTGKATTCAAATTTAATTCCATCCATTACAGTAATACCCACTTGTAAACCTACTGTACAGCAGAGTGACATCCACAATTTACCCGCTTTTTTTGTATTGATACTTAACATTTCGTTTTAAAAAACTGTATGCACTATCAGCACTATCAGCTACAAATTAATTTGGACATTTTTATATTTGTAGACAACCTAAAATTTAAACTTTAAATTCAAAAAAATGACAAAAATTTAAGATGATGAACATGATTTGATCCAAACCTTACTATTGGAAAGATAGTAATGCAGCAGCTAAAAAWTTTTTGTATACTTGAAACTGAAAGTATAGTCCGAGGTATARTCTATACACTTTGAAAGTTGTCTAACAATCTAAATTTACTAATGAACTTATATTAAATTAGAACTGTTGTTTTGCGCTGTTAAATTCACTAAGTGTAAAGCCTCACGTAATACACTTAGCCAAAAGTAATAATAATAATATAGAAATAAACGAAAATAAAGACACCTATAATGGATAGTTTTAAGTGAAGGCTGAATCACTGCAKCAGTGAGTTCCATCAGAAAATTCTAGAAAATTAAATTTTAAATTCACAGTGTTCTGCATGGAATAGAGACAATATAACTCAGTAAAAATATTCAATATTTATTAAAATCACAAACTTCGTATTCAARTGTCCATAATATTCAGCAGAAGGTAGGTATTACAGAGATGAAAACTAATTTGCAAAGAATCAAATTCGATAAAGAATGATGCAACGTAACGACGTGTATAATATTAAAGATATAGGTACTTACCATATTGCAGAAGGTTAGATATTTGAATTTCCCGCCGAAGGCCTCATCCAAGGGGTTAAGACGAGCTGGTATGTTGACGTAGGTATAATAATAGTATAGTGAATAAGTAAAGAGCACGGCACCTGATAGATGTACGCCCTTGTTGATGGCGTCCATGGTGCAGGTCTTAGCTTCRGCGGTCATTATTAGTTATAACCGATTTTATCCAATATAATGATATATTATACTTAACGTGCGAAAAAAAACGTGCCACCTAAGTTAAATTAGTCTACATGCCAATTATTATATTATGAACCAATAAT